CTCTGGAGCTGAAGCCTCAGGACCGAGAGCAGCTGGACGCCTTCATTGACCAGCTGTACAAGGACATTGAGGCAGGTTGGTGAGATAGAGCCTTGGCCTTACCCAACCCTGGAAACCCCCCAGTCAGATGGTGGATACACAGTTTTTCCCCAGGGTGCTCTGAATTAATGGTGGGGTAAGGTAATCCCTTTGTGCCTAGGGGGAGCTTCAGATCTGTCCACAGGGCACACAGGTGAGAAACGGCCCCAAGATTTATCCAGAGGCTTGATGCTGGGAGGAGGGGGAGTGCTGGACAAATAGGGTGTCTTGTAGACAGAAAAGTAAGGCTTGTGTCTCAGAGGCAAGTTTAGGTAAAATGGTAGGGCCCGGTGCATTAGTGTGGTGGGGTGGCAGGACAGTGGAGTCAGTGCCTGTCCTTGTAAGCCTTGTTTCCTTTTCCTGCCTGTAAAATGGGTAGAATAATGTCTGTATGTTACTGTCTTACAGCAACTGGAGAGTTTCTTAACTGTGAAGGATCTGGCCTCTTTGTGCTTCAGAGCTGCTGTGAGTCATGGCACTGAGGAGGGATGGTCCCCGGCGTTTCTGCCTTTACCAGGTGGCCTTGCAGCCACAGTTTATCTTTCTCAGTTGGCCCTTTCTAGGCTGCTAGGGTTGAGTTTGGGAGCCCCATTAGGTCTGAGCCCCCACAGGAATTCCCCTGCGCCTTTTTGTTCTATCATTATTTCATTTGTTCATACAACTGTTTGTGCTATAATATATGCTTATATATAAAACCTTATGATAGGCCAGGCCCTGTGCTAAGGCAGGCATAGAGCTCTGATTCTTGTAAAGGGAAGCATGGGCCTTATACCGTCACTGCCCTGTGAGATTTGGGAGTACTGGGAGACCCTTTGGTTCCTGGGAAGAGGGAGCCCAGGCTAGAGGGCGAGTCACATCAGCACCTGATGAGGAGAGGCAGAGCCAGCTCAGACAACTGCCTTTTCCAGACCTCAGCCTCCCACCCCCTAGTTTCCTTACTGTGAACTCTTCCCAGGCTCCAGGGCCACTCTACCCTCCCAAACTGGATTCTCAGAGGGTCTGTGACAGCTGTTACTAGATGTCCAGTAGCTGGCAGAACTAAGTGGTCTGGTGGGCGTCCCTTCAGAGCCCTGTCCCTCCCTTTGTGAGACAGTGGGAACACGACTGAGAATGAAGTTGGCCAGTCACAGCGGGTTGGAGTGGAAGTGCTGTGGAGTTCATTTGGCGTGTGCTTTTTGGTCTTTAGGAAAGAACACTGGATGCAGAGTCAGGAAACTTGGGTTCCAAAACCTGCTTGGCCTTGGCAGGGATGAAAGAGCAAGAAAGGACCCAGAGCTCTGCAGAGTTGAGGCTATTATGTTTTTTATCCTCATTAAATATATTATATATTAAATAATCCTCATTACCTGCCTCTTGTGATCTAGGCAATCACAGTTGTGTGCCCAATGCAGAGACCTCCTTTCCAGAAAACAACTTCCTTTTGCATGTCACCGCCCTGGAGGATATTAAGCCAGGAGAGGTGAGGGGAGCCAGGAACCGTGGGGATGGGTGGGCAGTGGGCCTTGGAAGTTCTCTTTAGGGATTAGGAACAGCAGTGGCTAGAGCACCTTGAAGTTCAGGCCGTTGGGTGAAATCTGCACATACCCTAGGGTCTGAGTCTTCAGCTTATGGTTATGTTCTAACCCTTCCTCACTTTCTCGAAATACAACTCCAGAAAGTCTCAAGACAGTGTTTGAGGGACACCTGTGTGCTCAGATTCTTGTCTCCAGCTATCTTTTGGTCAAATGCAGATCTGTAGTTTCTAAGAAAGCAGGAGATAGCTCTTTGTGGGTTTAGGGTCTTTTCTGTTAGCACAGGCACAGTGCCTGGTTGAATCTTCTTACAGGGCAAGTAGCGTCATACCAACACCTCTGATCCCAGCACAGACCTTGGCCGTTGACTGGCTTTCACCATGGCCTGAGGCTAATCACAGTATCCTCTGTCTCAGACACAGGCTGTTGGAGCCCTGCAGTGGCCTGCCTACTGAAGGCACTGGGAACTGGATGAGGGCAGCCTACTACTCCTTCACTGAAGGGCAGCGCAAGCCTGGCTCCTAGAGATAGGGCAGTAGTTGGAGACAGGGTAGGATCTGGGGAGGGCCTTATACCATTTAAAAGAGCACAGACCATCAGACTGCACCTCTCTGCCCTACAGGAAATTTGTATCAGCTACTTGGACTGCTGTCAACGGGAACGCAGCCGCCACAGCCGCCACAAGATCCTCAGGTGCCAGCTGGGGACATGGTTGGGCAGCTGGGCTCTGGGGTCCTCTATCCCGGTAGTTGCCTGACTTTTCCCTCTCATCATTCCCTCACCGCTGCAGGGAGAACTATCTGTTTGTCTGTTCCTGTCCCAAATGCCTGGCAGAGGCTGATGAACCCAATGTGACCTCAGAAGAGGAAGAGGAAGAGGAGGAGGAGGAAGGAGAGCCAGAAGATGCAGAGCTGGGGGATGAGATGACTGATGTGTAATGTTGCCCTGCCTAGAAAGGGCCGTGCCCGAGACCCTGCTGGAAAAAGGGGCTCTTCCCCCAGAGAAGGGGCTCAGAGGGAACTCCCCACTCCCATTGCCTGCTTTCCTCTCATTCCAGCCCTCTCTGCCAGAGGGTAGGACAAAGGCTGGACTCCCAGCCCCCAAACCCCACCAGACCTCATGCCCTGGACACTGCTGCTGAGTTGGCTCAGACTCTGCACTGTCACTGAGCCTTTCACAACTGGCTTCCCTGTGAGGTTCCTCCACTCTAGGGTATGAGGGGCTGGAATCAGGGCCAGGGCCTAACAGTGTTTCTTCCCCTTGGCCCCATGGCCCATACTTACCCATTCACCTGAGGCTTTTCTCCTCTCAACTTCCTGTTGATTTCTTTTGAGGGGGTAAATCTGAGAACAGACTGAGTTCATTGAAGCAGAGAGGGGAGGTGGTCAGGCACCCTCACCTTCCTCACCTCCCCACTGCCACAGCTGTGGCTGGTAAGGCAACTGCTTGACCACTAGCTCGGAGGGGAGAGGCAGGCAGGAGGATCTGGGTCTCCTGAGCCCCTTCCCTGAGGCTGTCTGCTGGAAATGCTCGATCAGGGGGAATATTCCCCCACACACATACCCCCATTTGGACATCTGGGGAAGTGGAGATTAAACTCTTCCCCAGACTCCAGAATTTTTGTACCTCGTGCCTTGCCTCACAGGCGCTGGCACAGTGGCTGGCCCTATGGAGTATGGAAAAGGCTTCTGCCTTCCTCAGGAGGGACACGTGGGGAATCATCACTCTTTCTCACAGCTTCTTCCTATCGTGCACTCAGCGGCATGGCTGAGACCTGGGGCTTAACTGGCCTGTGCTCCTTAAATTAGGATGTTCTGGCCCTCCTGGGGCCAGTTAAAATGGATCAGTGAGGGGCTTTCCTGGCCTCAATCTCCATCTTTAGGATCTCCACAGAGGAACACTTAAGTCTTCCAGAAACCTCGAGGAGCTGGGCTAGATACTTGGAGAGTAGCTCTGTCTTATCCCCTCCTACCCCCAGATCAGCACCACCCCTCTCACTCTTGGGTTGGATGCTAATGGGAATTACAAACCATCACTCCCAATGCCTCCCTTTCCTGGAGGAGCCTGCCAAATCCCCCTGCTGAGGGATCCCAGAGAGGGCAGGTGCCCACCCCACAGGCCATTCCCTGAACCATGGAGCCAGGTGGAACCTGCCTGTCTCCTTACCCATTGGGTTCTTACTCCTTCACAACGGCCAGCACTCCTTTTCCACAGCCCCCTGCCCACTGTTCTCAATAAAATGAGTGGTAATAGGCCTCTGCAGGAATCCTTTGTGGCGAGTGGCTGGGCAGACTTCCCTCGGCATGCAGCAATCCCAGGTGGGTGCAAAGGGGTACTGATTAGACCAGGCAATGGTAGGAGATGGGAGCTCCAGGATCACCAGCTTGGGCTCACCTCTGTCCTTATTTACACTCTGCTATGCATATGTTCTAATGCCTAAGAGCAAGGGTCTTCTGAGGTCCAGTTTGGCTTTTTTTTTTTTTTTTTTTTT